TGTCCTCTACTCTGTAACATTGGTCTACAAGTCTATTTTGGTGTCAATACCATTCTTGAACAACAGCAATTTATATGTAAAAATTAAATCCATAGTCATATTGATTATTAAATGATATCATCATATTTTTATTCATGAGCCTCTACATGACAAAAGTCTTTCAAGAAGTTAATGATGATATAATGATAAAGAGAACAGTTTCTGAGATTAATTGTGTGGTTTCAAATCACATGTCTGCTACTTATCAACTGTATGACTCCTGGAAAATTGAATAATAGTATCTGCTACTATGAAATGAGATAGTCTCAATAAGATTTTCTTGTTTATTTTTAATCAAAATCAAAAGGAGCACATGAGTGGTCTATTTTGTTCCAAGTGAGACACATAGAACAGAAGATAAATATTCACAAACATGTGAGGTATTGCCATTCTTTTTAGAGTTTACCTTGAAAATCAAGCAGAGATTTGAACAGACTCTACAGGAGAAAGGATAGGTATCAACCCAAAGCATCACATATGATTTCCATTTCATGAATCTTGTGCTACTACTATTCATGAAATTTCTGAATTTAATGAAAGATCCAATTTTAGAAAACAACCCTACACAGTTTTATTCTTTTTGGAGAAAGTTGGTTTTAAACAAAACCATCACTATTAATAGGAGAAGGTATATAGAAAGAAAATCAAGCTTGTGAAGAACAAATAACCAAGAATAGAATTTATACATTAGTAGCACATGTGCAAGCAAATGTGTAGAGAGTTTCTTTGCTTAGATTTGGGTGGTAAGAATTATTCACCAAGTTTCCTTCACCAGGCTGTACTCTTGTTCTTAACTTATTGCCACCTGATTGTTTGTGGCGGTCCTTAACAGATGTTTTACCGCCCTCTAAAGGATCTGGACATGAATACCCTAATAGAAAGAAGAAAAGGAAATCCCCAGAGATATGTCACATTTGCATTCAAGTTTTTAAAGTAAATATTTATTTAGAATAAGAAAATGAAAGAGTGGGTTAACTTATGAAACATAAATAGATAAATCAAATGTTAGAAAACAAAGCAAGGAAAATGCAAATGAACTTTAAAAAAGCAGACAATAGCAGCATTCTCTCTCCCTCCAGAAAGTCTGTTTTGATTTTTCTGATTGCAACTAATTCTCAGCTGTCAATAACATTGAACTAAAAGACAAGGGTTGTAGATAACTTGCTGTAGTGCTAAATCTGCTATAAACACCTGTATTTCTGCTCTTTAATCTTAAAATGTATAAAATGAGAAGTTAGGGCTTATCCCATTAAAACATATCATATTGTTCCTTATCGATAATGACTATAAACTTCTTTGTTTTCTAGGATGCTTATCAAAATATTTTGGCTTACCAAAGCAAACAGGCCCTATTTTTCTATTATTTTCTGGAAAATCACATCCCAAAGCCACTTTTTCTCTAGAAGCAGCAACTTAACTCCTGCAAATCTACTTCTGAATCAGATTGATTTGTCCATGTTTATAAGTTTTATGTCATTTTTCTCTTGAGAAGTTGAAATTTTTTGTCATTGAGTTAATGGTGATCTGATCTAAAATAACTAGACTTTGGCAACACAGCAAACTATATTTGAAAGAGTCAAAACTTTGTTCTTTCAATAATAGGTTAAACATGGAATTCCTTCCATTTTTATTGACCTTTTGAGGCAACAGAGCCCTGAAGAAATTAAAAGATATGAAGAGAGATAGAAATATGCTATAGAAATTGACATATATTATTTAACTTTTTTGCATTTCCTAAATTAGGTAAATTTTAAAGTAAATGTGCTATTTCTTCTCAAAAAGTCCTTACTTATTACTCTTTTAATAATTTGTCTTTCTTTCTTTCTTTCTTTTTTCTTTCTTTCTTTCTTTCTTCATTTTCTCCCTCCTCTCTCCCTCCCTCTCTTTCTTTTTTTCCCTTAAAAGACAGAAGGTTATAAGATGAGGATCTTACAAATACATGTTAAAGATTCATAAATATATCTGAGTTAGAGATTGGTTCAAACAAATTCATATCATCAAAAACAGTCAATAAATTTGGTTCTAAGATCTAAGAAGTCACTGTAAAATAGCATGATTTGTTTCAGAATTATTCACAAATCTCCATGAAAAGGATCATAAAAAGAAAAATCAATTCGTGTAAGATAAGAAAATTGTATTTATATTGAGGCAAGAGCAAATGAAACATTTTTAAATAGCTTCCTAGAAGCAAAATTCAAAAACAAAAGATACCATTCCACAAACCCAGCCCACTAATGAAAAATATCCATGAGGTAAAAAATTTAAAAAAAAACAGTAGAAATAAATAGTTTCATTTAAAAAACAAAAAAAGATTTTGAAAAATGATATAATGTTCAATTTAAGGGGATAAAGGTATATATTGTCTCTTATAATTGGGGATGGCTAATAGAATTCAGTTTGCTCCTATATAAAACTAGTAGTAGTTAGTACCTTGCAAGGGTGCCTTGGAAAAACCTGTCCTTATTTTTAAGCTACTGGAGAATCTAGACTTTTATATAATAAAGTATTGAATTTTTGAAAGGCCAACAGTTTGTTTGCCCAGTTAAACATAGTAAGGGACAGATTCAGAATGTGAGCTGCCATCCTTCAACCCTTAGTTTAGGGAATATATAAAAATCAATAGATTATATTTTCCATTTCTTATTAAATATTTGGAATCACTGAGTGACAATTGCCTGAAATACAGCTTGTGTATGTTATTGGATGAATTCATGCCATAGGATATAAATTTCAACTAAACCAAGATTTTTTTTTTATTCTATTTTCAAGACAAGTAGTAGGAGAAAAGCAAAAGTTATTCCACTACTTCCAGGAGCTCAGCCTCCTCACCACAGAACTTCCTAAAAAGCCAATAGGCCTTGAAGACTATTTGATTCATTTTCTCTCTCCTTCCTGAATGCTGATAATGAATAGATTTTTAAGTTTAAAAACCAAAATATCATATTTGTGAAAACATTCTCACACTAATTCTTTACTGCTATAATAGTTAACCCAATTTCTGCATAATACTCTGCAATACTAATTAAATGTGATGAGAAATTGCTGTGTCATAGTGCACATATATTTTCCATTTGTACACAGACTCTACCATCTTTATTTTTTGCATGAATGCACATCAAGTATTTTGATTAATCATGACAATAATATATCCAAGTGATATATCTAAAATTATTTGGAAGACTGGGAAATATAGAAAGTTTTTGTTTTGGGAAGGTGCTCCAAAGCTAGCCAGACATCAGTTCTCCCTATATATTGTTAAGTAGGTCTCATATTGTATAACTACTTAATAGTGGTTATTTCATTGTATGGATTTTTTTGTGTGTGTGAATTGAAGCTTCTATTTTTTACCAACAGAGCATCTTCTTTGCTTCAGTAAGGATGAATTTTCTTGATTATTATTCAAATATTACTGCTCTAGGAATTTTTGGGAAACAGAGTCAAGACTCTCTTGTTCATTTTTATTATAACCTGAAAGATTACAGTTGAAAGTCTTTAATTAAAGAAAAATTTTCATCCAGAACTGAGCTCTTTATATTAACAGAAAATAACACCAACACATTTTTTTTGTAGGTTTCTGTTTGTTTTACAGTGCTGGAGATGGAACCTCAGGCCATACACATACTAGGCAAGTCCCCTACCACTAAGCTACATCCCCAGACCTTTTCTAAAATATAACTTTTGACAGGATCTTCCTAAATTTCCAATCCTGGTCATTGTTCTGCCTTAGCATCCTGTCACTGGGATCATAGGCATGCATGCACCATCACTCAGCAAAATGTTGTAGTTAAAACAATTATTTACAAATATTTGATTCAATTTTCACAAGGACACTGAAAAGCTGTCCATTTGCCAGTAGAATAGACAAAGAACTTAAAAGATGATGAAGCTGCTTTGGTTATATTAGTGTTCTAATTAGCTTTGAATTTAAGTGAGACTAATCTTAAATCATTACTCTAGGTCTCTACCAACCAGCACATTAAACAATGAATAACTTATGTGAACCTACCTCAAATTTTTCATATAGGTACATTTGTTAGTTGTTCATGTTGGGGGGAGTTGCTGGGTATAGCTGAATGAAATGTGCAATTAGTGTATTACAATGACTTTTGTATTGAATATAAGTGTATACCGATATCTTTATTTTATTAGAGTATTTGGAAATATTTAATATATCTCATGATAATATGCATTACAAACTTTAATATTTTATTCAGTTATTGTATATAAAACATATATGTAGCACAACAATTTATATTTCTTTTATGCTTACCTGCAGAATTTATCTAATAAGACACCAGGTTTTCGACAATAGAGTTATCTATTGTATTTCAAGAAATAGTAATAGATGATCAAGTTGGAATGTCTCATTACATTCTTGTGTTTTAGTGTCCATTCTGATTTTAGAATTGAAGTCTTACATTCCAAGGAGTTGTATTTATTGTTTGGGTTTTTTTTGTTTGTTTCTTTTTTCAAATTTCTACGTTATTCTTCAAAGATTTTGTTAGAGTGTACTTATTATTTTTTGGGTTCTTACTTCTTAGGAATTTGACAGTAGTTACCTACAAAATGTCAAAAACAAAACAAAACAAAAAACCAACCAAAGTCTTATCATTAGGAGAATAATCTGAGATTTTATGTGCCTTAGAGAAGAGCTCTTCATGGATCTCACTCTTACAAAACTAATTAGAACCACAACAAAATATTTATGTATTATCTTACTTTCTCTTTTTTGATTTTTGTAGTATTTTTCAGAATTCTATGGGAGATAAGAAATATGCTTTTCTCCAATTTTTAATGCTTTGAAAAGATTTTGAAAATGTTAGAGAATATTATTACTATAAACTAAATAAAGTATGGATTCTGTCTACCATAATGATGCCTGAAGAAAAAAAATGTGGAAAAATATCTTAAAATAATTTTTCTTTGGCCTTTCCTCTTCTTCTCCTTCATTTCAAATCAAGAGATTCGTTCTCCTGCTGGCTGTAATGGGAATCACTTCCAGTGCCATCCTGATGGAAATTGCATTCCTGATCTGTGGCGCTGTGATGGAGAAAAAGACTGTGAAGATGGTAGCGATGAAAAAGGATGCAATGGCACGATACGCTTGTGTGATCACAAAACCAAGTTCTCCTGTCAGCGTACAGGTGAGCAGAACGTTGCTTTCACCTTCTGTTGCACTCCCTGAATGAAGAACCCCTTCTGCTCGCCCGCAGTCTGTATCTCAATTTTGCAAAGAGCATTGTTGTGTTCCTAATAGGTCTGCTCACATTCTATATGTAACAACAGTAATAGCCATCTTCTAATGAGAAGTATTATTGGTCTGTAGAGTTCTATGAGTATTCTCTTCATGAACTCAGGAGACAAAGAGCTTTAAATATGCCCCAGTTCACAAAACTGGCATGGAACAATAGAAAAAAAAAATTGGGGGTGAGGATGGAGGTATCAGTAATTCAACTCAGGGGCACTCAAACACTGAGCCACATTTCAAGCCCTATTTTGAATTTTATTTAGAGACAGGGTCTCACTGAGTTGCTTAGCACCTAACTTTTGATGAAGGTGTCTTTGAACTCATGATCCTCCTGCCTCAGGGATTACAGGCATGCACCACCACATTGGGTATATATTGAAATTTGAAACCAGCCCATTTGTATTCAGAGTCTCAAATTTCATAGGCTAGAGATGAAGTTAAGAGAACAAACAGAATGCAAGAACTGCAAAGAATTTTTCATAGATTTCAGGAAGTATTCTTGGTTCATCTCTGGAACATCTCTTTAATGTGAATTGCTTTTGAATTGCTTAATCACGAGCTCTTAGTGATTCCTTTTGTTCTGTATACCAACTAATTGGTAGAGAGTAAATATCATGAGTAAGCAAATACTATAAAAACCACATTACTAATGTGAACTTTTTTTTTCTTTTCTTTTTTTTTTTTTTGGTCCCAGGAATTGAACTCAGGGGCACTCAACCACTGAGCCACATCCCCAGCCCTATTTTGTATTTTATTTAGGGACAAGGTCTCACTGAGTTGCTTAGCACCTCACCATTGCTGAGGCTGACTTTGAACTCTTGATCCTCCTGCCTCAGCATCCAGAGCTACTGGAATTATAGGCATGTGTCATTGAACCCGGTGGCTGATGAATTTAAAGACACAAAAAAGGCATCACATTTCTTTCCTAAAAACACTTCTTGGTTACACTGAAGAATTTAAATAAAAAATAAAGAAACATATGTAAACTAGTATAGATATACATGAAAAATAATCCTGTAGCCCATTCCTAGTGAGAGAATTACGTGTCCAAATGGGTTATTCTTCCAACAATAGTTTTTCAAAGTTGTTTCTATCTTCAATTGTTACATAAACATTTTATTTGGAGAATACTAGGTTTAAATGTGATTTTTAGTATAGAAAGTATCCTTTTGAATATATATTAGTTATAATCAATAGATAAGTATTGTTAGATTAATAAAATATTGATTGCCTAAATAATTTTCTATAAACTAATTCTTTTTCCAAAGAGACAGTTATTTGACTCAGATTAACATAATTCAAAGCATATATTTTCTTCCATATGACTTCTGTTCTTTGTCTAATTAGTCTAATATTGAAATAAAGCAAAAAATAGTCTTCAATATATAAGTATGAATAAGAAACTGGCAAAACTATGTTAAAACAAATATAAATTGGCATGGAAAATTTTAAAAATTAATTGGATATAATACAAAAGTTTGGCAAATTTAGATGTAAACCTTAAAATCAGGATGAAATTTTTCTATGGAGAAAGAATGCTTAGAAAGCTTCAGGAATAATGGTTATCAGAAGACAGGGATGATGTGCGGATGGAGAGAAGATAGGTAGCAGTTACAGAGGTACAGTTGGCCTTGAGGAATAACTTCTAAAGTTCTGTGGCACAGTAGGGTAACTATAGTTGGCAACCAACTGTATGTTTCAAAAGAGATGTTAAGTGTTCCAAAAACAAACAATAATGATAAATATGAGAGATAAATGATATGTCAATTACTCTAATCTGATCTTTATACATTGTGTACATATATTGAAATATCACATCATATCCCATAAATAATGTACAATTATATTGTGTCAATTAAAAAAAATCTAATGGAGAAAGAACTTCATAGCAATTTATACTTAAACAACTATAATGTCATTAAGAACTTGTTTGAACTTTCTAAACATAGAAAATATTCAGAGAAAACATAATAAACAAGAATATTAAGAAAACAATAGATAATTTGAATGCTTCTGCATAGTATAATATTTATTAATATTTTGAAATGAAATCATACAAATTCCTCTGAATATGGCTTGAAGATTAGACTGAAGTATGGTAAGGATGACTAGCTATCTTTGGAAAACTGGATTCTTAGAGATACTTGCGTGTGTTGACTTATGACTTATATTGCACTTTTAATAATGTTATTAATAAAATATATCAAGAAATTTTCAAGTAAACCAAAATTTAATGTAAATAAAGCATAATTACAGTACAACTGATATTTCATTTTAAAAGAGAAATGTAAAAAGTATTACTTTTACCAATCCATTTGCTTCTAATTAATCTGTAGTTTAGATATAGTAAATCATAATTTTGCCAAACTTTAAAACAATCATCATGCACAATTGCATATTCATATTTATGATAGACTTTTGTAAACATTGGAAGCATTTAAAGAAACTACAATAATAAGCATTGAATATATATGCATCAATAGTCTTTTTGATTTTTTTATTTACTTTAATTAAATTATCACTTTTGCAAGCTAAAAGACCTTTAAACTACTCAAGATTTTCAATCCTGAGTTCAGTTTATTTTCAAAGATGTTGTAAATGCTAACTTGGATATTTAAAAGTTTCCAAAGTAATAAATTTACATTTATTAGTTAGAATGGCTTTTCTTTTATACGTAAGTTGCCATCTCTTAATTAGTGTTCAAATACAAGCACATTAGTAAGTTTTATATTAGTATAAAAAAGAGCATGAGAGTTAAATTAAAATACAATACAACTATTAACATCAAAAGGCTTCTAATCTCAAAGGAACTATCTGACCAAGAAGTGTATTCTACCACATCTGGTCTCTCATGTCCCAGACCTATAAATAGCAGTTATATCATAAATGAGGAGTCAGGGGAGAGAGTTTCAAGTCTACCCCTCATGTAAAAGCAACTCAGGATGCCAGTCTTTAAATTAAAAAAGAAAAGAAAATGTTTGGTACTATAAAGTGATGTCAAGAGTATAGGGAAAATTGCCCCTCAGGGGGTTGAAGGAATGTTAATTTGACCCTGCCTTCCCAGTTTAGAAATTTATGCAGGTAAAATCAGAAATATATGAAATTATAGATGCACAAATATATTCATTGAATTTTTTTCATTTTTAGTAAAAAAAATAATTAAACAATGTATTGCTTTTCAGGATGGAACTACTTAAAAGATTTATGGTGTACTTATATAATGAATTACTCTAATGTCATTCAGAAGAAATAAGAAAGAAATTCATTTAAGTTAAGACTTTGTATTCACACTTTGAAACTTCTCTCTACTGCTAAAAACTCATATAAGTGATGCTCGCATGTTACAAGAGAAAATAAAGAGACATGCTGATTTACTACTCTGAGAAACACGAATAAGACAGAATATAGAATGCTGAGCTGTGCCTGCAATATTTTCATATCGATCTATCGGTCTGTTTGTCTGTCTAATATCTCTGCTGCTGATGACAAATTACCTAACTGAAGTCATGTACCTAAAGAGACGGAAGGACACAGGCATGGGAATTCAGACAAGCAAGCCTCTGTCTGATGTAGAGATCAAATGTGATAAAAATCCAATATTTTTTTGGGATAGACTCCTACAAATAAACAAACATAAGATATATTTCTGAACCATGAATGCTGGAAATAATGGGGTAGGCTGAAGTGTAAGCAGTGAAACCGTAGATAAGAACAAGTAAACGCATAAAGAGAAAAATGAAAGCTCTCAGACAAAATGAGATTTCAAACCAAAAGTCTAAAACATACCAGGGAAGCTATCTCTAAGGAAATCAGTTCTCAAAACACTCGTTACCAAATGAATTACTCGTGATTAAATGAAAATGAAATGTGTGTCTAAAAAATTTAGAATAATTATGTGGAGATCATGGAAGAAAAAAAAAAGAAAAGAATACATACGACATGTATATGAAAATAAAATATATTTAATAATATATATATAAATTATTGTAATTATTCTGCCTGACATATTATATATTTTATATATTATAATATAGTCATTATCATTATAATATATAATATGACAAGCAGAATAATTGCAATTGGAAAAGGTTGACAAAATGATCTTAGTTTAGGCTGCTACTACAAATTAACAAAAACTGGGTGGCTTAATCAGCAAACATTTATTTTTGACCATGTAGGAGGCTGGGAATTTCCAAGGTGGAGGCTCTACCAGATCACATGGATGGTTAGGGTACTATTCCTGGTTTGCAGAGACCATTCTTCTTATTGCATAAGATTGCTAATCTCATGACAGACCTAATTACTTGACCAAACCCCCTTTTTCTAATACAGTCACATAAGGGATAAGATTTCAATATGAATTTTCTGGAAAACAAAAATTCAGTCATAACACCCATAATGAGAAAAATGCAACTCCAAACTATAGTGGCATCACTTTTTATTCAACATTAGCTAGGTGATAATTAACAAGTTGAAAAACATCTGTGTCAGTGAGAGTAGATGAAGCAGACACTTTTAGGTTAGGGGATATTGGTAAACCTCTGTGAAAAGTAAGAAATATGTATCAGTGACTAAAATCTACTTACTTTTTTTTAAGAGAGAGAGAGAGAGAATTTTAATATTCATTTTTTTAGTTTTCGGTGGACGCAACATCTTTGTTTGTATGTGGTGCTGAGGATCGAACTCGGGCCACACGCATGCCAGGCAAGCACGCTACCACTTGAACCACATCCTCAGCCCATGCATTTACTTTTTTACTAGCAATTCTACCTCCAGGAATTTATGAAGTAGATTACATTTGTGAAATAAGATGTACAAAAATATTTAATTATTTTACAGTACTTTAAGTCATGTGTTTAATATGCTTAAGTCAATGCATATAAAGATACCAACTGG